AGATGTAGGTCCTTGCCTTTCATGAATTTCAATACTTCTTTCTAGCCCCTTCTTGCCTGCAAGGTCTCTTTTGAGAAGTCAGCCGACAGTCTTATGGGAACTCCTTTGTATGTAACTGCCTCCTTATTTCTTGTTGCTTCTAGGATTCTCTATTTTTAATCTTGGGTAATGTAATTATGATGTGCTTTGGTGTGTGCTTCTTTGGGTCCAACTTCTTTGGGACTCTCTGAGCTTCCTGGATTTCCTGAAAGTCTATTTCCTTTGCCAAATTGGGGAAGTTCTCCTTTATTATTTGTTCAAATAACTTTCCCACTTGTTGCTCTTCCCCTTCCCCTTCTAGCACCCCTATAATTCAGATGTTGGAATGTTTAAAGATGTCCTGGAGGTTCCTAAGTCTTTCCTCATTTTTTTGAATTCTTGTTTCTTTATTCTTTTCTGTTTGATTGTTTCTTTCTTCCTTCTGGTCCACACCATTGACCTGAGTCCCAGTTTTCTTCCCATCACTATTGGCTCCCTGTACATTTTCCTTCATTTTACTTAGCATAGCCTTCATTTTTTCATCTAATCTGTGATCAAATTCAACCAATTCTCTGAGCATCCTGATCACCAGTGCTTTGAACTGTGCATCTGATAGATTGACTATATCTTTGTTGCTTAGTTATATTTTTTCTGGAGCTTTGATCTGTTCTTTCATTTGGGCCATTTTTTTTTTGTCTTGGTGTGCCTATTACATATGAGAGGCAGAGCCTTAGGTGTTCACCAGGGCTGGGCAGCCCACATCACTGTGTTGTGACACTGTATGTGGGGGAGGGGTCAAAGAGGGAACAATGGTGCTTGCTCTGCTCTTTGCCAGATTTCAGTCACTTCTCCTGTTACCCACAAGCAAAGTGGGCCCTTCTGGTGCTGGTCCCTGGGTGGGTGGGCTTGTGTATGTTCTAGCACCCTGTGGATCTCTCCAACGAACTTTCCTGTGAGGCTGGGAGTTTCTCTCTCCTGGCTTAACCCTCACAGGTGTTTTCAATCAGAAGTTTGAAGCTTTATTTCCCGGTGCTTGAGCCCTGGGTTGTGAGGTCTGTCTTGATCCCCAATTGTTCCTCCCAGTTTATCTGTGTCCAAATAGGGGACCCCTCAGTCCACAATCTGCCACCTCACCCGGTCCTCCAGCACCCGCCTTACTGTGAGTCCTCTCCACCCATCTCTGCCCCTCGTACTGGTCTGAATGAATATGTCTTCTTTAACTCCTTGGTTGTTGCAATTCCATACAGTTGGATTTTCTGTCAGTTCTGGTTGTTTTTTGTTTTTAAATTTGTTATTGTCCTTCTTCTGGTTGTGTGAGGAGGCACAGTGTGTCTACCTATGCCTCCATCTTGGCTGGAAGTCTAAACTCTCTGTTTTGTGTAATCACAACTATAAACCTGCATTTGCCCACCCTGTATTGTGAGTTATTAAATCTAAGCAAAGCTGATTCCAGAGAAATTATTTTACATTCCACATAGTATTTTTCTGGTTATATCTGTTCAAAATTAAACTTTTTTAAAAATAATTTTTTGTTGTTAGTCTATTACAGTTGTCTTAATTTTTTTCCCTTTGCCCTCCTCTGCCCATCCCACCTCCTGCTCTCACAGTCAATTTCCACAATGTTGTCCAGGTCTGTGGGTCATTCATACATGTTTTTTGTCTAGTCCCTTCTCCTTCTTTCCACCATCATTCCCCTCCCTCCCTTCTCTGTACCATTATCCCCCACTCCAGGTCACTTTTACTCTGTTCTATGTTTCCATGCCCATTCTATTTTGTTCATTAGTTTATTTTGTTCATTAGATTCCTTTTATAGGTGAAATCAGATGGTATTTGCCTTTCACTGACTAGCTCCTTTCACTTAGCATAATATTCTCTAGTTCCACCCATGCTGTCACAAAAGGTAGGAGTTCCTCTTTCTTTCTGTTGTGTAGTATTCCATTGTGTAAATATACCACAGGTTTTTGATCCACTCATTTACTGATGGGCATTTAGGCTGTTTCCAGTACTTGGCTATTATAAATAACGCTGCTATAAACTTCTTTTAAAGCTTTATCTTTCTTTTACTGGCCTGGGATGTGAAGATTGGGATGCCAAGGTTAAAACTAACAAACAAAACTTAATTCTTTGCATATACTCTAGTGGATTTTCACAAACTGTATGCTCTTGTGCTCTTAACTTTGGTTAAAAAAATTTTAAAGCTGTTTTATTACATTTATTTGAAAATATAGAATAGGTCATTGGTAGCAATTATATTATGCTGGTTTTCAAACACAGTTGTTGCTGAAGAATACCTTAACACTTAACATCTTCCTGAAATAGATTGAATCTTGAACAGAGATTAGGGAATTATTTTGAAGTTGTCATTGAATCAGATCTGTTAAAACTATAGAGAATCATAAGTTCCTATTAATATTGCCTGGAGTAAATAAATTTACCATGCTGAGTTAAACTTAACATTTTAACAAAAGATGTATTCTTGAAGTAACTTCTCAATATTTATCATTGTATTTTTATGTAGTTCTTATTCATTTTATGGTTGTATATGACAGTATGGTACTTATATAATCCCCATATCTTCTAAGACCCACTTGTGTTTTATCAGATATGTTGGTGTTTAAGTTGCTGTGTCATATACAATATTATTAGTTAATTACCCAGAATTACACTCATTCAACTCACCAATTTAGGGTAAAAGGATCCAGTATAAGATGAAGGTAGAACAAGTGATTAGTAGATTACTCTTTCACTAGTAAGTAGCAAATTCCAGAGTTATAACATCACTACTGTTGGAAAAGGTATGATTCTATGAATTGTGATCAACTTTAAAGCCTAGAACCTGAACCAAATTTGTTTGAAACCACCTAACACATATTCATTGATTCACTCGCTCATTCATTTTTCTTTTCTTGTGCATACACTCACACACATCAATACATATCTACATAAAATATGTAAAGTATATTGAAAGTCAATTTTTCTGTTTTCTCAGAATTTCAGGTAAAGGTTCAAAGCTGGGAAAATAAGCGAAAAGCACTTTCATAGTTATAAGTAAAAGAGGAAAACATTTTCTGTGTATTTTGTGAGTCAGGTTTCTTATAAGTGTTAGTTTATGTAGTCCTTTTAGAATTTCTAAATGGTGGGTATGGTTATTTCTGTTTTACACCTGAGAAAACTGAGACCCAGGCAGTATAAGTGACTTGCTGAAGGTTTAAAGCCAGATTGAAATCTAAAATCTGTGCCCTATCATGTACCAGGTACTGCCTCTCCAAAGCATCATTCATCCTTTTGGGGACTTATCCTTTTGGGTGAGGACAGTCTCCCTCTCCCTGTAGCTGTGACATACTGGGAGCATGTACTTCATGATATCTGCCACCAAATAATGTTGATTTTAATGGAGACTACATGCAAGGAGTCTAGCTGAATGGGCCTGGGAGAAATTAGATATGCTAAAATTAGGTACATACTTCAGCTTGTCAGTCCCAATCACCACACTCATAATTCCAATGTCAGCTTATCTTTATTCTCATCAAGTATACCATTTACCAGAACCACCTCTTATGAATGCCATTATGTAGTTTATTCAGTGATATTAATTTTACTCTAATTGTTACATTACAGATTATGCAATGACAGAATATTTGAAAAGAAATATAATTTTATAAAGACATGATTTATTAAGTAATTGTATTAGTTTTCTGTGACTTTTCTAAAGAGTGCAAAATGATAAGTAAAAAGAAATTCAGAGAAGAGCGAAGATGTTTTGCATATATCAAAGAGCTGATATTAGCAGTGAGGAAGCAAATAGCCTAAAATGATATTTGAGGCATTGTCATGTCTTCTTTCCTAAAAAATAAGATAGAAGAACATTTTAGTATCATTAGACTGTTCTGTATAAAATTTCCTAGATATTTTCTGAATTGTTTAATAAAAGAAGGGTATGGGGACTACCCAAAGAACATGTATGAATGGATTCATGGACATGAACAACAGTGTGGGAATTGACTGTGGGAGTGGGGGGTGGGATGGGAAGAGGAGGGCAAGGGGGAAAATTGGGACAACTGTAATAGAATAACAATAAAAAATGATTAAAAATGGAAAACTTTACATTTTCTGGCATTACTGCCATGTAGAGTTAGGGTCACACTATGCTGAAATTCCTTTAATATTTCTGATTAAATAACTGTAACTTGCATTGTATAAAACCTTACATACTAAAACAATCTTTTCTAAAAAAGTGCTAACACTATTTATTTCTGGTTGTATTATTATAGATTTTTTTTATCCAAAGAATGCTGAATATTCATTTTAACAGAAGGAAGAATCAGAAGAGACTTATAGGCAGCAGGGAAGAGATTAAAAAAATAACAACTTGCCTCTTAGTTTTCCCTTCAGTACAAATTGTTTGCTTTTTAGTATGTATTTTTTACTTCTTGGTGCTATGCCAGCCTGTCCTTCAATTAAACACTCACTATCCTCACAGCCAGCCAAGCACATTAGAACAGGTAATTAGGGTTATATTTAATATGAAAACCATGACATTTTAAATTTCCAGGTGATTGTGTAATTTTTTAATCTCTGAAACTATTTCATTCCAATCTATCACAGGTTGGCTGATATGATTACAACTTGTAGCTTGCAAAGCAAAGTTTTGATTTGGGAAAGTTGACTCTGTCAGTAGTGTCTGCAGAATGACTTTTATTTGGACCCAGTATATTTAGTATTTGTGTTTTCAGAGTTTATACCAAGTTGATGGTAAAGGCATAGATAGTTCTCAAAAACTTATTGAGGTTTAAAAAATTGTTAAATTCCCATAACCATTATTAGCTTTGTAGGAATATATAACTTATTTTGTTGTTGTTAAGACCTCTTCATTTTTTTCTCTGATTTTTTTCCCCCTCTTTTAATTTAGGATATGTCATGGTACTTAATGCAGGCCTCTTGGCAAATACCTACCAAAACCTCTGCATAATTAGGACAACATCTTATGGTTCCTTTAGGCTACCAGTCTTGGCCTAGTGAGAAAGAAAGACATTCATAAGAAGTTCTTATAAATCAAAATTAAACTATATTCTGATTAATTATTAGTAAGCAATTATAGGCTTCCTCATTCAAAGTCAAGACCATATATTTTACTGTATCAATTCATTTTCATAACTAAGTCTTATAACTTAAGCACTAACCTTATGTTTATATTTTCTATTAGACAACAATGTCTTACATAAAGTGAATATTTGATTACCTTCTCTTCCATGAGCTCTGGGGTACTAGTTGGATCTATAGCAGAAGCAAAAATATTTGTTGTGCTGGGTTTTTGTGAAGTTGAAGGAGTGAAAATTCCTCCACTGGCATGCCTAAAATTTATTATTTCTTTTTGTAAATATGGTATCACTCCTCCTTCTGGCTATAGAGAATGAGAAAGAAAACAAAGTGGTTTCAGGTTCAAGTATAAGGCCAAAATCAGGGAGAATATAAAGCAACAGGACTGAGATGTAGGGCAAAGAATTAATTTAAGAAGTAACTGTCTTGAATATTTTCTAGATATAATATATCTGTTAGAAAGACTATGCTAATATGGATGTCTTTTAATACCTAATTTTAAATGAGTGTACATAGGAGAGTATCTGACACATGGTAGTCCCTCAATAAATATTTGAGGAGCTGAGTAAATTGAATCTTGACTGGCATGATATAATAATTGGGTTTTCTTTAGATTTTATTTATTTATTTTTAGAGAGGGGAAGGGAGGGAGAAAGAGAGGGAAAGAAACATCAATGTTGGGTTGCCTCTTAAATGTCCCCTACTGGAGACCTGGCCTATAACCCAGGTATGTGTCCTGACTGGGAATCAAAATGGTGACCCTTTGGTGCTCAGGCCAGCACTCAATCCCCTGAATGACACCAGCTAGGGCCAAGATGTAATAATTGTTGATGGAATGATAATAATGATTTTCATTAACATGAACAACAGTGCAGGAACCTGTAGGTTGTCAGTTGCTAGTGAAGCGTGGTTGGGACCTCACCATCACAGCAGGTTCAGGAGCTGTGCCTAGGAAGGTGTCAAAGGCTAGTTGCTGCTGTCCTCCTGGTATAACCTGAAAAGTTGGGAAGTTTACAAAAGTCTGAATTATTAACTTCTACAATATGTTGTTTTGCATTCAAGGCAGTTAAACACTTCCAAAATTCTTAGTTTCTTAAAAACAAAAATAATCATTTAGATTTGAGAAGCAGAAAAGCAGCTCCTGACACTGGGAAACTGGCTTGACACAATGGTTCTGCTTATGTTCTCAGGAGCTTCTTGCCTGCCACTCTCTACAGGGCCTGAGTGTTCTCTTGAACATTAAGAATCCTACAGAGCATCCACATTAGACAGGTTTGCCTCTGAACACAATGAAGTACGACAACAACAAGATCACTTTGTAATCTGTCTAATGCAAGAACACAGTGTGAGACATGAAAATATCAGGCATCCTCAGGCATTCTCATATTCTGGCTAATCTGAGTAACTTGCATCTTTACCAATCACAACCTTGCCTTGCTCCATTAGTACCTTTGATGTAAGAATCGTTGTTACTCAGTTATAGGACCAGAGTGAACTATCACTCTTTGAATTCTCCCCCAAATCACCTGACACAACCCTAGATCCTATAATTCCTTCCTATTAAGACACCCTACAGTTCCCCATGGTGTGTGTCCTCCCTTGTTTCAATGATAAATAAATACACCTTTGTTCAACTAAGGAACAAATATGTTCCTGGTGGTTTTTGGCTGAAGGGCACTGATGTATTTAATATTCTGAAGCAAGTAGTTTCAAAAATACCATATGATCTCACCTGTCAGTGGAACCTAATCAACAAAACAAACAAGCAAGCAAAATACAACCAGAAGCACTGAAATAAAAAACAAACTGAAAGTAATCAGAGAGGAGGAGGGAGAGGGATAATAGGTGAAGGGCCATCAAGGAACTTGTATAAAGGACACCTGGACAAAGCCAAAGGGGGTAGGATCAAGGGTGAGACAGAAAGGCGTGGTGGGGTGAGAATGGAGACAATTGTACTTGAACAACAATAAAAAATAAAAAAATAAAAATAAAATAAAGTAGAACTGGAAAAAAGTTAGTTTTGTTTTTACGTGTATGCATTTACTTACAGGCTCTGCTTGTTGTGGAATATTTCCAAATTCAGTATAGAATGGCATCTGTAAGATTTTTGAAAAAAATGTATTAGATTTGCTCTGACAATTTTTGTCATAATGTTGTGGTAAATGATTACATAAAATTATATTTTTTATATTATATTAAATGTTTTTTCAAAGCTCTTATGTTTTAGGCAGTAAAATTTTTTGTTAAATTACTAAGTATCTTTTTAACATTATATAATTTCTAGGTTAAAACTCTTCCTTTCTCTTTAAGATGGCAATTGGAATTACCACTATTAGTCACTTAAAGCATAATTTTTAGTTTTCTCTGATTTGGATGACAAATTTTATAGTGGTGATAAACTATTATATCTTTTCCATTTTAAGTAAAATAAATCTACTTATTATGACCCACCTGAATTTACATTAGAATTCTAAAAAAATATTACAGGTTCAGAAAATGTAATGTAAGGTTATCTAATTGTATCTCAAGATCTGGTGATCATAGGTAACTTTCATCATGGTAGCTATTTGTATTTTAAACAGTAATCACACATATATGATAAGAGGGATGCTGGTAGGTTTTTTAAAGTTAGAAAACTTCAATTTCTAAGACAATTTAGCTTTTGACATCTGATTTTGTTAAGTCCTGTCACTGATTCATTCTTTTAAAGCCCAGCCTTAGAACATTTCCAAAGTAGTCATATATTAGGAGAAAGCACTATAATCTTTTATGACCATCAGTGCAAGCTGCTGAGTTTTTGCACTAAATAAACTCAGATATTCATTTTTTCTGAAAATTTACCTTATCCTCTCTTTTCTCAGGTGGATCTAGCCAGATTAAAATCAAACACTTGCAGTACCTGCTCCTCAAATTTCTGCTGTCCCGTTTGTGGAGGCGGCTGTGGGACAGTTTGCTGAGGCTGTTCCCAGGGCAGGAGCATGTAAACCGGATAGTACTGAAACATCTATTTGTAAACAGAAACACAGATAAGAGCTTCCTTTGAATCAGCCTAGGCATTTTAAAAAACAATCTTCCAAAGTCAATATTAGCTCAAAGCTGATATATATATATATAGTAATTTTGTGAGCAACAACAACAAAAAAACACATACACATTTGTTCTCAAACTTTATAAAGAACTTGTATTGCATGTGATACTGGAATGGACTTTGTTTCAAGACTGGTTGGTCAAACACATTTAGGAAATAGTGTGCTCAACTGAATAACAGGTTTTAAAAAAGGATGCTTTGGACTTTATACACAAAATTTAGACTTTATATACAAATTACCTTGCAAATATCTAAGAAGAGAATTGCCTATGTACCATTTCCATTACACTTTTTGAGAATCATTCTTCAGGACATGGTATGAGTCCTTCTACCATAATGAGTATAGTATCAAGAATATATTGCTTTTAGTAGCTGACATTTTATTAAAACAATCTATATGCATTTTAGAATATTCTGAGAATCTAAAGACAAGGAGCAAATAAAATCACTTGCAACTTTACCATCCACATCATCATGTATTGCTTCCAATTATGTCTAAACAAGCATATGTGTATAAAAATCAGGCTCATAGTGCAGACACAGAGTTTTGTATGCTGTTTTCTTTCCTTACATAATTAGAGTAGATTAGATATAAGAGTTAAAGAAAAGCTGTGGTTTGAAAAATATATTTTGTGCAATGATCCTTAATCCTGGCTAAGAATCAAAATCACCTATTGAGCATTTTAGCAGAAAATCATATTTGGGAACTACTCAGGGGGGTTTGATTCATAAGATATGGGCAGAGTCCAAGCATTTGTAATTTTCAAAATAACCCTCAAAGAATCTAATGCAAAGCCAGGGTGGAGCCAGTGGTTAAAAAAGGTGGAAGAATTCTATTTCAACTCAGCTATTTACTTCCATTACAATAGAAAATTTAATCTCGTTAAGACTTATTTTTCTGATCTTTAAGATGAAGTAATTCCACATGCCACATATCTAACTATCTAAATGCTATGACATACAATGAGATAGTGTCTAGAAGTAACTTTTGTTTTGGGGTGGGACAAAATTACATTATTATGATTACAGTAGAGTCAGTCTAACAGAGTAGTGAATGCTCAGTACTTTACTGGTGAATAATGGGATTTACTTATATCCTAATTTCTTTGAACCCAAGATATTAAAAAATTAATTAGCCTCATCTTGAGAGGGTTTTCTATATTATTCTAATGATTCTACTAGTTTGTATTCATATTTTTAAGAAATATCAATCATTTGACTGTAACATGGAGTTAAATTTAAAATATACCAGAACCTGGAAACGTTTTGACCGGAACTTGATAACCATTAGATAATGTGGCCAAGGTTTCTTATCTCAAAGCATATCATATCATATTTTATCAATATAATGCATCTCACTCTGAAAAAAAATTTAGAGTTGGGCAAAATCTGCCCATGGTATTTCTTTTGAATTATGCCAAAATGCCAGCACTTTAGATGCAGAGAGGACATAACCTAAGGCTTAGTAAGCTCCTTTATTCCCAACATGGTAATGTCCTAGGAACTCAGGAATCCTGTGGACTCTCCCTAGCTGGTCTTTCTTCAGGAGTTATTAAGTGAACCTGCCTTTAACAAACTGATGTGAGCCTAGCAATAGCAGTATCCAAACAGTGATGCCAATGGGTTTTTACAGCCCTGCTACAGGAGTCAGAGCTACAAATATAAAAGAAAGCATTCATTCAATGGCAAGTGTTAGTAGCCCTCTCTCTATAGGAATGACGATATCCTATTTATTTACCTGTGCTTGCTCTTGAGGCATTTTAAAGGAGAACACATAAGGCATTGCCTGCTAAAAAAAGAATCATAAAAAAGTTTTACTTGACTTTTTAATTTAAATTTCCAGAGCTGTTTTTCTTAAAGCTAGTCATATAAATTTATATATTAGCAGACTTCTATGACAACAAAAGGTCATCTATTACATGCACTATCATTAATGCAAATTGTATTTTCCAAAACATGTTTTAATACTTTTGATTTGCGGCTATGATCCTACAATAGCTGGATTAAGTGGTATTTTTAATGTTGTAAATCAGAAAAGATAAGGTACTTGCAGCAATTGTAGAAACATATTATGAAGAAGAATTCTTGCTTAATAACTCCTGTCTTATTTTAAAGCTGATTTGTATTCATTTTCAGATTCAACACATATCATCTCTCCTCAGAATAAGATGGAAGAGGCGCAACTTACGTGGTTAGGGCCCTGTTGGGTCTGCACTGGTGTTTGAGACTGTGAGGGGTCCAGTTGTCCCACTTGGTTTCCCTGGGGAAAACTGGCCTGTCTTGGGAAAGTTATCTGATTTGGGAGCAGTCTAGCAAACTGGTCTAGAGTTGATAAAGAGAATGGGGCAAGCCCCGGAATTTGAGCCTGCTGTTGTAGAATCCCAGAGAAAGGAGGAATCCATGAATTAAATGGGCTCTGGAAGAACATAAAAGAAAGAAAGATTCCTGTTAAAGGTGAGATCACAGGCTGACAGAGGGGAGAGGGAAGGGGATTATAGGGGAAAAGGGGAAGGGTTTGCAGGAACAATTATAAAGGACACATGAACAATAACAAGGGGTGGTGGAAACTGGGGAGGGAGGTGGGGAGGGTTGGGGTGGGGGGAATGGGTGGGGGGAAAAGTCAGAAAACTGTACATGAACAACAATAAAAATGTTTAAAAATAATAAAATTAAATCAAACAATTAAAAAATAGAAAGTTTTCCTCTTTCATTTCAGAAACCATTGAAATCAGTCCTGAGCAAGTAAATGATTTCTGTGAAAAAAAGATAACATCTTGACACATTGTGAGGTGTGCAAATGGCATGAAGAATACTAAATTCCCAATGACCATGAGAAATATGGGGCAGAATGAGGTCAATAAAGAGTATAGTTTCTGCAGTTGCCAAACTGGATTCAAAGCTTTTTTTTTTTAAAACCAGTTAGCTAAGTATGATTTTATGTAAAATAGTTAACTATCTTGTAGTTGTGAGTATCTGTCTGGATTGCAGCAGAGAGAGATTCTTAATAAATAAATGCTAATTAGATTCTTAACAAGTAAATGCTAATAAGATTATAGTTTTTACTTTAGTGTTCAAACATATGGTCATTAAAATATATGGGACAAATTCATAACTTTAAAAACTAAAATTTCAGAAATGGAATCAGAAAACAATTTGTTTTTATAAAAGTGGCATAATAAGAAATAAACAGTAGAAAAATATTGTTAATTATTAAGGTAGAGGTACCTGAAGCTGTAGTGCCTGAAGTTGAGCATTATTAAGATTCAGAAGTAACTAGAAAAGGAAAAATAATATAAAAACAAGGTTACTATATGGTATGATTATTAAGAACCATATTTATTACAAATATAGCATAAGTCAGAGCTGACTAATCTTAGTTTCCTGTTAGGAATGAGATGTTTTCTCACTAAGCTTATACTAAATTGCAGTGATTAGAGGCTGGGATTTAACTACCTCTCCCTCTCTGTGTATGAGATTGTATAACTTAAACCCATTCCTGGTTTAGTTAGTCATTTCATGCTCTTAAATACCTGTATATACCTGTATTAGGTGCTATTAAAACAAAACAATATGCAAGATATTTTCATTGCTTTTCAAAAATTTACAATCAAACAAGGTAAAATAGTATTCTAGAAATAACCTGGTATATAAAAGAAACATGAATGTTGGAAATGCATTTAGATGTAAGAGCACTGAAGAACCAAAGAATCTTTATTGCCCCTAACTAGGCTTTGAATTTTTGGCTTTTATCTCTACCTTACTGTCTTAAAAAAAACAACAAACAAAAAGGAGGAGATTCTTTTGAGTACTAACCTCATTGCTGTTGCTTGCAGACAAAATTCGCTGTGGGATAAGCTAAAAAAAAAGGTAAAAAAAGGGTAAAAAATGATTTGTTAAAGGTTCTACACACTGGTAATGGTTGTATTATGGAATCACTTACCGGAGCTGACATTGTGGCTCCCAGTAGCCCCAAAAGAATTATTGTTTTCATTTTCAGATAAAATATCTAGGAAAAGTAATTGTGAAATTTAGCTTTAAAAAGACTATATAAAAATCATGAAAATAATTTGTTGGTATTATTCAATCAGGAGAGCAGTTAGATAAAATTTATAGTATTTGCTTATACATTAGAGTTTAAAATACGATAGGAATTATTCTTTTTTCTGAGTAGAGAGACAAACCAAAATTGTTTGCTCATCCTTTTAACTTGATCAAATGAGTCAATCAGTGGCATATGATGTAGCTGATTGAGTTACAAATAAGATGGCCATGTTTTGTGCTGCTCTACACTGAAAGGATTGAGTCCTTCTGACCCTGGGAGTGCCCATGACTGGGTCCTTATTATGAAAACAATTTTAATGTGTATTTAATATAGTAGTACAAGCACTACAATAAAGATCTGACAATAGCAGTTTAACACCAAATAATTTTCATTGAAAAGTCTAATAACATTAAGTATATATTAAAATTAAGAAACTGAGTCAATATTTTTCTAATTCTAATAAGTTTATGAAATTGAACTGCAGTATTGATTTATAGTGCAACCTATGGAAGTATATTACATCTTGTCCTTTAGATGTGAAAACCTTACCCTACTTCAAATCACTGTCCTACACAGCTGATTAGGGTGACCTTGGTAGGCTATCCTGTAGGGTTGGCTGATTTCAGTTATTAATATTATGAAAGAAAAAGTTTGATATCTTACCTCACTCCTTTGCCTATGAAGAGATATCTAGGCCCATGCAAGGTCTGTGTTCTTTTTATCTTTCAGTTCTGCTTCTTGGAACATCTCTTATATTTTAGAACCCATCTTTAGAAAAAAAGAACCAATTATTTTTCCAAAGGACCCATGATTCAGTGGGTCTCAGACAATGGCTTAGCTAATAACCCCTTTCCTAATCATCTAGGTGGTATATGGATTCCCACACTTCTAGTAATGTCATTAAATTATCCCCTGGGAGATGTTTCCCTGTGATCATTACTGGTTTCTGCTTTGGTTATGACTAAATCTTCTGGAATAATTTCATTCTGCCCCTTCTTTTTTTTAATCATCTATAAAATGGATACCCTAATAGAATGACTTTTTAAAAGCCTTTATTAAGGTAAAAAATTAATGGATGATTATTTTATTTTAATAGTAAAATATAGAATTATTAGACATAAGGCATAGGTATAAAAGACAAAAATTCAAAACCTAGTTAGGGGCAGTCAAGATTTTTTGGTTCTTCAATGCTGGACTAAGTAAATATGAACTAATTTCATTTAAATTCAACCTTAAAAAATCAGTAAATCTCTTTCTACCTGTGGAATAAATCCTCAAAAAATAGCCAAATCTTTGTGTCTATGACATGTATGTCTCCATATGGTGTGTTCCTTGGTATAAATAATTTTATAAATAGAAACATGATGGCTTTTGTATTTTTAAAAATAGTGGTGAGTGTTTTACACTTTGAAAAATCTTTTTCACTAAATATGATATTAATATTCAAAATACAGTTAAGTGTTATTATCTGTACATCATTGATATTTCAATTTTCTTTACCAATTGAACTTTGTGACTATTTGTCTTATTTTTCTTTGTGTTAATATTGAGTCCATTCTGATAGTCCAGGATAATGAGTGTTGTGATAATGTGTTATCAAGTAATTTCTATTGTGGAAGAATTCTTTAACTAATATAATCTTAAACAACTAATGGTAGTGTTATCATGCAGGAAAACAAGTTATTACCTTTAAATAGATTTGTTTTCCTTAGCAGGATGATACACCTGTTAAAACTTGCACAGCTCTTTAGTACTAAAATGAGGACATTTGTTATTTAGCCTAAAAACCTGGAGGGACAACTATTAATTAAAATAACAAAATCCTTTTCTTTACTAAAGAAGAAAAGCTACTACTAGGATTGTATATTGTTAGAAAGGAAGTTTCTCAAAATTCATGAATGTTATCTTTGTAAATCGTTATTGAGGGCAGATTGAACTCAAGCTGGGAGGTTAATGTAACCCATCATTGTCTGGAAAATCTAGCATATTGGTTGAGTGGGTAGACAGGGTAGATGGTGCTGTATTGCCTAATGACACATATTTACAATTGATGAGCTTGGTCTATTCTGAGTATTGTCAAATTAAATTCAGTACACCATAAACTCTCAGTCTTCTGAGATTTTCTGTTGCATGGTGCAGGGTCTTAGGCATCTAACCTCACTCTGAGCCAGAAAGTTGTCAACGGGAAGCACAGAAAAATTTGGGAATTATATTATGGAGTCAAAATATATAATCACTGTAGAAATTATCCTGATGATGAATAGTTTCATCTAGATATGTATTCCTCAAATCTGAAGGTGGTTGGAAAAAAATTTCTCTCATTTCCCCCCATTATGTGAATATTTTAAAGAAAAACAGTTGAAACTGCTTTTTACAAGTTAATGTGGTAAAGATCAGGCTATGCTTTCCTACCAGACAGGTAGCTTCTAACTCCCTGTGTCATTGGAGGCAATGTGGTCTCTGGGTAGGAGAAGAAGTAGCAATCTTACATCCCGGTTTGGTATTATCTATGTATTTCTCCCATTCGGCTATGTTGAACTTACTAATTTTGCTATCCTATGTCAGTCACCCAGTAGGTATTCCCACTGGGAAATTAAAGAAATGAATTCCACCATTCCGGGGAGAAAAAGGTGATACAGATCCAGAGCAATGTCAGTCTGTGTGGATTAATGTGTGGAAACCTTAAATTGAAGAACCGGAAGATGAGGAAATCCTGAACCAGATATTGTCACCATACCTTCATTATTTTGTTTTAGTTCAATTATCAGAACATCAGACACCCTTCATTCAACTAAAAGTACAAAAACATACATCAATGCCAAGTACAAATGACTGTTGGATTATGTACTATTAAAGTTATCCGGATCTTTGCTCTGTTGCAATAACATAAATTATGAAGAAACAACAATGGCTTATAAGTTAGTCCTTTCAAAATGTTATCTCTGTGTGTTTTTTCCCCTTCAATTAGCCTGAAAAATCAAATAAGAGGCTTACAGAGAACCATTGTGAAGTAGACCAATATTCTGTGAATCAAAAATTAAATTTGAATTTTAGTATTGCTTATAATAAAATAATTTTCTTACATATGAGTTTTAATTTTTCAGGAACTTTTAATTACATATTAAGGTAGGCATAAGAATATATATACATATGTGTATGTGTGTGTATATATATATGTATAATCTTCTACTTTTCAGTGAGAAAGCTGAGGTACAGAAGGCTCAGGGACTTCATTCATTCATTCATTCATTCATATAACTAATAATTATTATGCAGTTGCTGTAGTCCGCAACTTTGCTAAGCATTGAGAACTTAATGTTAATAGGACAGATGTAATCTCTGGGTTCATGGAATTCCTGTTTTCCCCCCAACTATTAAAAAGGTACCAGAATTTTGGTTAGTATTCAGGTCTTTTAAATCTTAATCAAGTAATTTTTCTAAAGCACCAAGCTGCCTAACCACAGGGGAGAGAGACATAGCACAACTTCAAAGATAATTAACAGATAAAAATAATAAATGCTAAAAATGAGTGTTTTTATAAGCTGCCTGAGTTGAAAACTGAATCTGAACTCAATGAAGGCAATAGGTTTTGTATCTTTAACAATTACTTTATTAGTAACTTGTGCAGTAAATAAAGAGAACAAGCAAGCTCTCAGTAAAATATCCTTTGGCACATAAGGGTGTTTACTTTTAACTTTTACAAAACTCTGCTAAAATGCCCCTCTCCGTTAAGTAGTGTACATTACTTAATATTAATCATTACATGTCCACTATGACAATATATCCTAGCCTAATGGCTCCAGCTTGATTGTATGAGTCTAATTTTATGATATTTAAGACTTATATGTAAATGTGAATTATGACTATAAAATATCATTTCAGGAGCAATTTTTTCAGGAATAGAGGTATTAAGAAAAATAAAACAATGAATACCTATTCTTTTCACAAAAGAGTCCATGAATTTCAGAGTAGTTGAGAGAGGCCAGCCCACAACACTAAGCTTGGGCTACAAACTAGCAACTGCCTGTGGTTCCCTTAGAGTGGCCTCCAGAACACTTGATGAGAGGCACATCCTTTCAAATACGACCCATTCTGGTCTGAGAATGATCAAGCCTTGCCTTCCCTGAAAATCACTTTCTTTGTCCCCTGGCCTGAAATTTTTTTTTTCTATTGAAACTTTATAGTACTTATTTCTGCCCTTTGCTCTTGTCAGTTTGAGACCCCACCACTTTCATGCTCCTCCTGTCTGTCTCTTCTTTTTGAGACTGTAATCAGAGTTTGGCCCCAACCAAGTTTCTGTACTATAACCTCCCAGAAACAACTCCATTTTAATCACAATCTTATAGGAACTTGATTTAAGATTAGTGTTTTTGGCTGATTTCTGGCTTTCTCTTTGTCAGACATCTAGCCAAGCCTGTGCTGTGGTCCTGCCACTCTCTTGAGAATGTCCCAGTCAAGAGGACTGACGAGTACCCCAGGTGAGTCCACCTTAGTTCCCCCTCAGAATTCTGTTGATTGTCTTTTGTTTTTCATTCTGTTACATTAAAGGTTTATTTGTTTATCAAGGTTTTATGTTTTTAATATCAATGGCATTTTATTGTTCAAAAGTTTTTCTGTCTTGTTTTCCTTTCTCTTTCCCCACTTTCATCTGTGAGTACTTATTTACTCTTTTATTCTCTTTTACCTGCCACACTGTTATTTTTCCTTTTCTCCTACCTAACCTGGTTTACAAAGCCCTTAATGATCTGGCTCTTGCTTTGTTTTCCCACTTTAGTGTTTTTCACTCAGGTCCCTGTTCATTAAGCTCTATGCCTGGAATGCTCTCTCTCTGACCACGCAGGGGCTGATGCCTGCTTGACATTCATTTTAGGAATCATCCCACAAAAGGATATTTCCAGGTTATCCAAACTAAAACAGTAACTTCCATACATATAGTCCTGTTTTGATTT